AAGGGGTGGGGTGGCGGCTGGGCTGGGCTGCCTGCCAATGGGAATTGAGCTGTGACCGAAAACGTTGCACAAATTAATATTTAATGCAACCAGACACACAACTCTCGACGGCTGTTGCCAACTACTCATTGAATATTACGCATACGCAGCACTGGACATTGGAGACACGCAGACGTACCGACAAAAAAAGAGTAATTGTAGCAGGATGAGGGGGCAAAAGTTATAGCCCGCTGTGACAGAAATGAACACGTAGGCGGCATAAACATCATCATCAGCGGCATCAACATTATCATCAGCGTCATTTACGTGACTTGCCATGTCCATTAGGCCGGGCAACAACCGGAGCCAGGCAAACAGAGGGAGCCGGCGACGTGGCCCAAAGGATTACAGCAACCCGGGGAGTTATTAGACCTATCACCAGTAACATACAACAATAACAAATTCATATATATATAAATATATATTTATATATATATATGTATATATTAAAATAATAAATTATAAAAAAAAGTAAGACTTTAAGTGTCTAAAGTAAGCGACTGAGTAATTCTCTGGTATCAGTGCAATAATAATTCGGAGATAATTGTTTGTTTCAACACTGTATATTTTATTGTACATTTTATTGCAATTTAAGGGAATATTTGCAGCACATTCTTTAAAGAAATCCCTCATTAAACTACCCATCAATATTGTTAACAGTCTTTAATCTTTACCGGACATCTTTAAATATGTATCCCATATACTTTCTCCAGCTCAATCCTAATATACTCTGTTCAAATCGAGCTTACGGTATAAGAGCAAAACTTTTTTTTTAGCTGTCAGAACTTTGGCCTTGGCTTAACCCGCCACGCAGCTTAACCCCACTTATGCGCGCGGGGGCTAATTTAAAGTTTGTTTTATTTAAAAATAAAATATGAAAAGCGAAAACACCATTAAAAAAAGGGAAAAAATCCTCGCAAAGGGACACTCGAGGACCTTGGGCGTACAATTTGTATTTACACTTTTGATAAATTAATTAAAAGCGAAAAGGGCGGCAAATCTTTAAAATAATTAATTAAATAAACGGGGCGACATGGCAAACAAATAGCAAAGCACAAAAACAACAAAAGCAAAAAGCTGAAAAAAAACACAAAAATTAAAATAAAAATAAGAAGAAGAAGATGTAAACTGAATGCCAAATGATGAATGCGCATCAAAGCAGGCGACTCAGGCACGAATCGAGCTGAAATTATGCCAACCAACTGACACAGAAATCCATTTTTCATTTTCAGCTATAAGCAAAGAGACGGCTGACTGGCCGCCCCTGGGCGTGGTACTCATGCTCTGGCCAAAAAGACTAGGCTGGCAAAACAGGGCCCAAGCCTTTACCTACTTATTTATGAGCTTGTATGTTGGTTGTTGGTCAAACAAAAAACTACGCTACAAACAAGAGCAACAACAATCAACAGCAACAACAAGAGCATAAGCACCACCAGCAGCAATACAACGAAAAAGGGGTAAAGATTACTAACGAAAAAATAAATAAAAAGCAACAGCAGCAAACATGCTGCTGATTTTTGTTGCTGCGTTTTGTTGCTGCTGCTTCTGTTGGTGTTGCTGCTGGCGTGTCCAAAATATAAGGAAGCACTTTGACAAATAATTCTGGGCATGCACGAAAATATAATGCTCTTCTAGCAACAAATTGACACATTTATATTTAATATTTAAAAAAATATCCTTTAAGCTGTATATATTATATATTTTCTAGTCTATTTATTATCTAATCAAATGCTTAAATAAAAGTATATGTTTCATATTAGTATTCAACTCATATTTGTATGACGTCCTTGTTTTATGTTCTACGAACGTTTCCCAATTTGCTTTAAATCAAATTCGGAGACCATTTTAGCAAACTACTTTTATGAAATTTATCTGCATTTTCAATCCAATAATTTGAATTCTGCTAAGCAGCTAAACATTTTTTGCTTAAATATGTAAAACACTCTGGATATGCTCTCTAATACCTATTGAGAATGTGGTTGAAGGTCACATTGAAAGCAGCAACAGCAAGGCTTTTATAAAATCGTTAAATTTATATGATAAAATTACTAAGGATATGAAGCATTTCCTATGCCACAAAGATAGTTTAAGTTTGTTAACAAAAATAAAAAAAAAACAAGTTTATAGCTAATTTAATAATTCCTTTCAGCAAATTTCCTATGCAGCTTATAATTAACCCTATGGAGTCACAAACAGATTGTCAAAAATATCAGGTTGCTCTCCCGGCAAGGGAATCTAAAATGCTCTGTAAAAAGACCTTTTCTTATTCATTTTTTCTCCCCTTTTTTTTATCTTACATTGGGGTTTCGTCTTGGGCTGTCATTGTCTGCCAAATTACGTATACGCCTGGCAGCACACAGCAACTTGCCCTATTTCTGTGTGTTGTATGTTTTGTGTGTGAGTGTTTATGTGTGTGTGTGTGTGTGGGGGCATGCAAACAAAGGCGCTTGTCTGTCAGCTTCGAACTTGAAAAAAATAAATAAAATAGCGTTGTGCGTAGAGATTTCACAGAAATGAGTTGTAAATGTCGAAAGTGCTTGATATGCCGTAGACAATTTTCAAATGTCGGCAATCTGCAAAGCAATTTGAAGAAAGCAAAAAGAAATGGAAATATGCGCTATAATTTACACTCCAGGCAACAACTGCTGCTGCTGTTTGTATGCTATATATATATATATTTTTGTATTTTTTTCCTTTTTGTCATGACAACTTTTCGCAGTGTGTGTGTGTGTGTGTGTGTGTGAACTTCTGAGCCGGGCTCGGTGCTGTGGTTGGCCTGGGCCATGTTTGTGTGTTTTGTCTGTAAGCAGCTGTCAGTGATTTCTGACAAATTGATTTGACAGTCGACAGGCGACCAACGAATGGGGATGGCTGGAAGGTGTAGGATGGGCAAGGGTGGCAACAGCAACAGCAACAGCAACAGCAGCAGTAACAGCAGCAGTGGCAAGTCAGGCGCGTGTGCTAAAAAAAGATGAAAGCCTGACGTTGCCGTGACTGTGCTGCTGTTGCCATGTCTACGCATAAGAGTCTGTGGCATGCTCTCTAGCCGACAGCAGCAAAACGAGAGGCAGAGTGTGGCAGAAGCAGCAGCAGCAGCAGCAGCAACCAAGGCAAAAACAACATTATCAACAACAAGCAGGCGGCTAAAGAGTTGTTGCCACCAAAGAGCAAGAGCGTGGTGAGTATTTTTACATGAATATGCTTGCTTGTATTCATTTGTTGCTTTTTTTGTAACATACATTTAGTTGCAGCCAGTTACCTGCCTGATTGACACACGCAACAACTGATTGACTGACGTACTGAATAAAGTAATGCACAACAACTTAAAAAAAAAGACAAACAAAAATATAGAAATCCAGAAAAATATGAGGCTCTGTGAAAACTCCATGAGAGTGGCAGCTGCCAGTGGCAAAAACGCACACAACGCGCCTGTCACTTTTTATTTATAAAGTGTGCAAATAAAATCCGTAAATCACTAGAGCAGCTGACCTAGATATACTATTATAGAGTATATATCTCCAGCTTTGACCACAAATCAAACAATTAGTTTTGCTGTCTGAAATTCCAGCAGTAAATCAACAGTCAAACAATTGAACCATTTAACTATGTAAATAAAATTAATATGAGCAAAGAACACAGATGAACAGCTGAAGGCGAGAGCAGAGGAACTGTGGATTCGAGTGAAACAGCAGGCAAGAGCATGGGCACGCTAAATAAATGGCCACCTTATGGTGGAGTCCACGAAAAATCCATTAAAAAGCAATCAATATATGGAAAACAAATGCCAGTCACTTTTGACCTCTCCTCGCCAAACCAATCTAGTTAAGAGCTCGCTCTTGCCCGCATTCGCTCACAAGCGCCCCTTCACTCTCTCTCTCTCTTTCTCTCTCTCACTCTCTGGCCCTCTTTCTCTCTCTCTCTATTGCTGGGCGGCATAATCTGAATTTACAAGTAATTTACCCAAACGCAGCAAAAATTGCAAAATGTCAAAAGCGCCTCCCAAAACGAAAATGAAGCCTGCCAGCAGCGGGTGGTCGAGCAATGAAAGGAAGAAAAACATAAAATAAAACCAACTCTCGACTATTAATGACCAAGACTCCAAGACAAGGTGAGTGAGCGAGATGAGAGGGACAGCCCCAGACCAGGGGAAAGGCAGCGCCCACACAAAATAAAAAATATAGTATATATATTTATATATATATATATATATAAATGCACGGTGAGTTGCTGTTTTTGCTGCCCCAAAACGCACATGGACTGTGCTGTTGTGCTGTGCTCAGCCAGCGCCTGGTGTTGACCTGATTTTAGTGACGTCATCTGGCCCACAACCTGCTGCTGCCACTGCATACCCGTTTGGTCGAATATACACTTACAGACACACATATACACAAGTGCAATGCTGTAAATAGGTCGATGCTAAGCACTTGTGCTTAGGTACTGAACACCCGCTGTTTCTCAGCTCAGCGCATTCGTCTTAATTAATAATAATAATATCAGCCACGACAGTCAGTCATTAGTTATTTTTAAAAGCAACAAAGGTTCCAATTTAGATGTATGTTACCATCAAGAGCACTAACCGTGCCAAAAAATTGTATTTCTTAGATTAAATGGCAGGGTGTCAAACTGATTTCAATTTCGATTCTGGTATCCAAAAAAATATATAAATTTGGGTAATTTTTTTAACTTTTTTTGTGGTACTGATTATTGGCTTGTAAGAAAGTGTTGGGAATAGCTTCTGATTTGGATTCCGATTGTGTATTTTAAGCGATAAAAATGCGGCTCCAATTCTGATTCTGATTCCTGTTTTAACACCCTTGAAAATGGGTTACATTTTAGTTGTCAAGGAGAAAATTGGCTATGCGTAAGGAAAGCTTAACAAATTAAAAAATTAATGTAATCTTTGAATAATGTAATAATGCAAAATAACAATTAAAAGGTTTAATATCAAAACCAATTTTAATAATAACATTACAATTTCTAAATGGTTTATAAAAATTTGGAAAAACGCAATAAGTTCATGGTCTAATATACAATATAATATAATATGACTCCTTTCGATCTCACTTCAAAGTCCTGTGTGTATCCGACAAAGCTATTGATTGTGCACATCTGTATTGGCTTTATTATATATTGTAGAATTAGTGCTACGTTGAGCTCAACCATTGACCTGCATATGTTTGAATCCAGACGGTATAGGTATATATACCACGTACCGTTTTTTGTGCACTAAGAATAGGAGAGATCTAGAGTTTCATCACTGCTGGGGAGTTCTCATGCAACACACTTTTCGCCTCAAAACACAATTCGTTTTAACAGTCGCATGTTGATTGCGCTTGCAGGCGTAGACCTCACGACATCTACCGCCCATCCGGAAACACGATTTCATGGCTGCAAAACAGGAACTATAAATTTTCTATTTGTGAGGAATATTTTGGCGTGTTTAGTAGCTTACGTGGCTTGTAGACGGATCGACAGCCAAAGCATTCACCGATAATCAGCAAGTAAAGCAGCAAAAATGTTGTCTTCCTTATTAGAGGCATTTGCATGCGCTTATTGTGATCGTTGTAGATGTAAATATGAATTACAAATGTAGCCAAAGAAATGAAAATATTGAAAGTTAACTCATTGCAGAGCTAACTGGGCTCAAAACAGAGCCGCTAAGTGAGTGAGTAAATAAGATTATTATGATAGCAGTGCCGAGCAGAAAGTGCAGTCTTTAGACGGCGTCAAATTGAGATTTTTAATTAAAAACTTGTAGCATTAAAAGCAGACATGCAAAAAGACTATAACCGGAAGTGATGGACTAGGAAGTGACTCGCACAGGAATGTACAGATAGTGCAGATGCAAAACTACGGATGTATTTAACTGTCAATGCTATATCAGTTACAGTTATATGAATAAGATAATCTATTATATGAAACGCTAAGTGTGTTTATAATATAATATATACTCGTATAATGAGCAAAGTTAGGACTATAATTGAATGACCCAACCTATTTGCTGCCCAGAGGCTACAGGGTATGAAAGAAACCATTACGTGGGACACCTTTCATGCTTCAAATCAGTGTGAAGGAAAATAAACCGCTTAAGGACTTGCGACTTGGCGCTTTCAAATTAACAAGAAAACTGCCTCCAGTCAGTTGTAGCACTTGGCCACGAGTCCGAGTGCGAGTTCGAGTCCGCGACTGCTGTTGCTGTTACTGCTGCTGCTGCTGCTGCTGCTGCTGTTGCTCCTGCTCTCTGCTGGCGCTGAATGAGAGATGCCACAGCGGAAGCGCTAGACGGATGCGGATGTGCTGGCCTGAGCATTGGTTCACCGCAGCGACTAGTTACCAGCAGCAGCAGCAGCAGCAGCAACAGCAATAGCAGCGGCGGCACTGGGAAAAAAATTCAATTAAAAGCAACAGCACGTAACTGAAACTTTTTTCTGCTTCTTTTCTTTTTTGCTTGTTTTTGCAAGTTTTTTTTGTATCTTTCGGGGCTGTGTCTTAGCCACTGTGTTCGTGTGTGTATTTTTCATGGTAAAGCAGCTGCCCTTGGGGCGCAGACAGAGTTCCAGTTGGGCAACCACTCCCCTCCTCGGTCCTTCCATCTCTTGGGCACCCGTCTGAATTATAAGTTGGTGCCAGCTGTCAGTTGGCTTGTGCGCGCTGCTTCAAAGTTGCAATGGTTTTTTCCCACTTCTATTTTATCCTGTTCTTCTTCATGCTTTTTGTTAGTTTGGTTTTGTATTTGGTCGAATATTGAATGGATGCAGCTGCAATTGGTGGCTATCAGTTATTGATAGTACATGCCCAATAAAAGCCAAAAGTTCGTATTAGCCCGTTGTCTACCAACTGCCAACTTGATGCTTCAGTTAAAGTTTCTCGCAGTTCTGCTTTAAGCTTTTGCATCAAATTAAATATTTGACAGCCTGTAAATGGTCGCAATCAATATTTTCGAATTGTTGATAGCAGCTCATTCTGAATTTTGTAAGTAGTAAAAGGCATTTGGCAACGGACTTTTCTCTGTTCACTTTAGATGCATGTCACTTTTTCTAAGCGATTGCATTTTAATAATTTATCAATTTAAAATCTACAAAAAATATGTCAATTTCAGATTCACTCAACTTTTTCTATTTTAAGAACAAAAAGTTCCAAGTAGTCCTACATTAATTCATATAGCTGTTGCATCTGTTGTGGATGCAACCCAAGTGGATTTGGTTGTAATTGGTTTTCTGTTGAGATTTTCATAAAATGACAGAAGGAATTAAAAGCAATTTCAATTTATGCTCGATTTGTGGTTGCTTTTATTTTATTTTAAATAACAAAAATGTTTCATGGAATAAGAACTTTATTCAACGAAATAGATTATTTAAAGAAACAGCTTTAAGAAAATCTTCAAATAAATTGCTGCTCAATAACGATCATCTATTCCTTAAGACATTTTGGAAAAATTTAAAACTTTAAAACTGTTTAAGTGGACATTTTAAAACATTACTCTCAACAAGCTTTTTATACCCTGAACCCATTAAAAATGTGTAAAAGGGATATAATCGAGTTGTATAAAAAAGATAGATTTTTTTGGAATATAAGTTCTCGTAACTATTGGCAGATTAAGTTTATTTAACGACATCTCACCACAATATTAAAAGTATAGCATTGTAATTAATTGTTGATAGACATATTATTAATAAGCTTCGGGATTGGATAAGAATCGCTCACGTGACCAAAATGTATTTTCACATGGGCAGCCCCCAACAAAACTAGAATTTGTATTTTAGTCGATTTAATATTTATAACAGCTGGGGTTAGGGTACCTGCTGGTCGAGTTCTCTCGACTAGAGCATTCTTACTTGTTTGCAACTACTTTTATTAAATCATAAATATTTAATATCTCCGTAAGCGACAGTTTGCTTAGTTGCTTAAATGAGACTCGGTATACTTTACGCATTTTGTATTAAATGAAGAACACAGCTTTTTTTCCCTTTAACTTTTCCTTCTGATATCAAATACACATTCTAACTAGCTAAATTTGCAATGAAGAAGCTCCACTTCCCCATTCCATCCCTCTTACTACTCTGTTTCGACTGTATATAATTATACAGTTGCTTGCCCAGTTCTACAATTATTTTTTTTCTATTTGTATGTTTTTCTCGTTCTTTGAGTAAATTTATTATATATACAACATTTATATGTATTTCCAACTATGGGGCAGGGGTTTGCTCTATCCGACACCTCGGCTCGGCTTAATTTACTGCTATTACCCGCCTGCTATTTCCCACCATAACACTCAACGCATTTATCTGGACGGGCTGCTTATCGCCTGCTCTGTGTGTCCCAGAGGCGACCAGTCGAGTGGCCACTCAACATTGGAGCAACACTTGGCATTGTGGCGCCTCGGCCCCTTACCTCTAATGAAGCGCAAATGCTGATGTAAAAATTTAATTTAGTTCCTAATCCGAGGCACACACGCGTCACCACGCCTCCCAAACCCTCACGCATATACACACACACACGCACACACACACACTCACACTCACTCACACACACTAACACATAACACATGTCCAAATGTTTATGGAACGTGTGTGTAGCCGATGCGTGCTTACCTACTAATGTGTGCGTGACATGGAGCCAGGGGCCAAGCCGTAGCCATACACTGAGAAAACAAAAATAAAAACAATTCAAAGTTGATTTTAAGCCACGCAAAAGCACATTCTCAAACATTTTGCTATCAGTTAAGCATATATGCTTATCAATGTGTATTAAAAAACAAAAAAAAGGTTTCTTAAATTTGCGCTTATTTTTATTTATTCTTGTCAGTGTAATCGTGACTGTGAACTGCGTATGCGTCATATTGCTACTGCTGATGCTGTGGCTAAAAATAATAAATGATGCGCCACGTACATGTATTAAAAACAAAGCGCAAAAAAACGCTGACAGCCAACGGGAGGCACATAACAGCGACTGACTACCCCATAAAAGCCACGACACAAAGCAAAGCTAACAAACTGAGGCGTCCGGCGACCGGAATGAAGCGTCAACCCCATTGAATGGTAGACCTTGTTGTTGTTGTTGTTGTTGTTGTTGTTACCGTTTTGTGTTTGGTTGCAGCAGGCAAAACTAACAAACGACAGCGCCAACATTAGCGTGTCCTGCACAAGGGAGTGGTTGCATGGGTTGCATGGGTTGCATGGGCTGTGGGGTGGGGTTGGAAGATATGCGTTCGTTCGCGCTGCTTGTTTATGGCTTTGTTTGCACTTTTGTTTATGGGTGTACATTTTAAACGCCAGGTGACATCTGTGCATGTATGCCTAGGTGTGTGTGTGTGAGTGTGAGTGTGTGCTAGCAGCTTCCCGATAGCTGCTTGTGTGCTCTGGCAATATGCTGGAGTTGCGGCAACAGCTGACAGTTGCACTGATTTTAAGCGTCCATCAAAGGCGCCTGTTTGACATTTAATTGCCGCACATTGTTGTACTTATTGCTTGCTTTTCCTGACCACAGTCATGCACGTGTTCTGTTTGTTTTAGGTGTGTGGCCAACTTTTAACACGCAATGTAAAAGCCAAAACCCAAAGTCAGGCTACGCTATTGCACATTTCACGGCACTGCGACAAAGATTACACACACACACACAAATAGACACAGACACAGCTAATGCATCAGTGTGTGCAGCTAGTGCTGGACAGAGTTGCGTGATTTGCTTTTAGCGTGAAGTATTACAACTAAAATTCACATCAAATTCATACATAAAACAATGAGCTACTCCTTAAAGGCTTAATTATAATTACTGTCATATATAATAATGGCAGTCTTTATTTATGAATCGATAGTTTTTGTTACTAAATACAAACGAATTACTAAATGTTTTTACCTAAGTTTCTCAGCGATTTACCATAAAATTTATGGAATCGAAAGAATAACAATCGAGAAAACGTTGTTTATTTTTCAGAACTTTCTATTCCTTTCCAAAATATACGCAGAACTGCTTAAATTATTATGTTCGAAACAAACAAAAAACAATTGACATTATTTACATTCAACTTTATTTGTTTGAAAAAGTTATTTAAAATCACTCTCTTTTCAAATTGATGAGCTCACAATATTTTTGGTGAACGTAATTCGTGCCTAAATCTCCTTGGCTGAACGATAATTACTGTGTCTGAGAAGTTGCTCAACCCTGTGACAGATTCGCACACATTTGCACTCACTTACAGCAGAAACTTCAAAAAGTTTACACGTGTTGGCAAACGTTTTGCGGTTACGTTCGGTAAAGGTTGAGTTGAACATTTTTTGTTTGTGGCTTTTTGTTTTTCTTTTTTGTTGGATTTGTTTTGCTTAATTTCAACTGTCGCAGTGGCTGCCTTTGCGACTTAACGTGGAAGCACACACACACACAGACACACACTCACACACACATAAGCACACACGTTGGCCATTTTCTAATGGCCTTTTCGTGGTCAAGCATTTAAGCTTCAACCCTGGCCCATAACCTCAACCTCTCTCTCTCTCTCTCTCTCACTCGACCCGCTTGGCCTGTGCTGCTTTTGTGCAACCGCAAAAGTTGCCTCTGTACTGGCAAATAC